TCATGATTATAAAACACCCTCTGTGAAACGTTTCCCTTTAAACAACCCCACACACACTGATAACAGCTTAATTGTAAAGTATTAGCATTTTTTATCAGCAATTGTTGAACCAGTATTTGATGATATTTCCATGGGTTCGTCTTGAATAAAGATAATTTTTTTTTACCAGTTTCCTAAAAAGGTCACTGGTTAGGCCACATTTGGAATATTGTGTTCAGTCTTGGGCTCCTTACCTTAGGAAAGACATTGAACTGTTGGAAAGGGTTATTAGAATGGTACCTGTGGTGGAGGGGTTGTCATACGAGGGAAGGCTGAAATCTCTCAAATTGTTTTCTCTTGAATAAAAGAAGAGTTAAGGGGGATCTGATGGAGGTGTTTAAGATTGTAAAGGGAATTGATAGTGTTGATGCATCATCTTTTTTCATACAATACAGTGAGAATATAAGGAGTAGGGGACACAAATATAAATTTTGGTAGGTTAGGAATCATCTCCATCTAAGACAGTTTTATTTTTCTAACAGAGTGGTTGTCCTTTGAAATGGTTGCCTTCAGATGCTGTGGAAGTAGTAAATTTAAGTGAGTTTAAAAGAAAGCTTGATAAGTATATGGATGATAAGGGCTAACTTTATTTTATTTATTTATTTATTAACAGTTTTAGTTTAGAGGATGGAACAGTTGAGGTGGACCAATAGGTCCCATGTTGTCCCAAAACGTTATGTTAAATTTCTTTTTAAGTGCACTTGGAAGAACTTATTTCAATCTTTTCTATACTAGATATGTTGCTCTTGTATGATTTTTGATGACTAGAAAAGTATAGTTCGCTGAGGACTTACACCATTGTAATAAGGTCAAGTTCAATCCATTATCTACCTTAACAACAGTTTACCCTCAGCTACACGGCTTTGTTTAATAATATTTTCACTTCTGGGTAAGTGGTAATTCCCCCTAAGGGCACAAAAAAATCAAAGTTTGAATCGATAATTTATTAATTGTTGAGAGAAATAGCACTGGGTAAATAAAATTATCTAAACTCAAATTTAATAAGTTCCAGGGTTTCTTAAATTGGGTGGGAGGGGTAAAAACTAGCTAACCCACAGCTAGAAAGTAAAATCCACTGAAGACACATTTTTCTGAGTAAATTTATATTAGGATAAGTTATTTCATATTGATAACTTAAAATATGACATGATAAAAAAACAAAATTATGATACAGCTATCTTGTGATTTATCAGTTGTAGTCCTTGAAGTTCTAACTGATTAACTTGTAACCATACCATACAAAATCTACAGGTGCTTAGCCAGTTTAGTGGTAACTTCAATATAATGTTTTATTCTCAGTGTGTTATCAGTTTAAATTATAAACAAATTTACCTTCAAATAACAACCTGATGCTTCATTATAAGTATAAGGAGTTTAAATTGCCTATAATGATGGGAGGTTTGAAGGATTACAGAAGATTGAGAGAGTTGGCTGAAAAATGTAAAAATTAATAGTAAAGATTTCTTCAAGTACCTCAAGGGTAAGTAAAATGTAAGGATGGGAGTAAGGACTTTAAGAAATGATACAGGAAGGTTAATATCTGATGATTATTGGATGGCAGAGTCATTAAAATCTACTTTTTCTTCAGTTTTTGCTAAAGAATATTTAAACATAATTCCTCAATCTGAACAGTTGCTAGATGGAAACAAAACTGAACAAGATGATCACATTAATTTTGAACTTGTTAAGAAAAAAAATTGGGAAATTTAAAGAATCTAAAAAATATTTACCTAAGTTTGAAGGAGGTTAAGAATTGGATGTATGAGCCACTTGCTACTGTTTTTTCTAAGTCTTTGAATAGTAGGCAAGTGCCAGAAGATTGGAAGTTCTTTACAAGGGAGGTGACAAAAATTGTACCAGTAATTATAGGCCTACAAGTCTTACATCAGTGGTGGAAAAAGTTGTTGAAAGTCTGATAGCATAGTTTCACTACGGTAAAATATTACCTTACTAATCTTTTGATATTCTTTGAAAAAGCTATTGCATATGTAGATGAAGGAATGGGTGTGTGTGCTATTACTAGGGCAATTAGTATTTTAGGTTGTATCTACAAAAATACTGAATACAAGAGTAAAGAAGTTACAATGTCATTATATAAAACATTGTTTAGGCCACATGGAGTAATGTGTGTTCAGTCTTGGGTCCTTACCTGAGAAAGGACATTCAACTGTTGGAAGGGGTTCAGATAAGGGCTACTAAGATAATATCTGGTATGAAAAGGTTGTCATACAGGAATAGGTTTAGATCTCTAAAATTTTCTCTTGAAAAAAAAAGAATAGTTAGAGAATATCCAATTGCGGTGTTTAAGATTGTTAAGAGAAATGATAGTGTTGATACATCATCTTTTTTTTTTTCATATTAAATAGTGAGAATGGTAAAAATAGAAGACAGAAACATAAATTTTAGCAGATTAGGAGTCATCTTAAGCAAAGACAAGTTGGTTGGCTTGTGGAATGGGTTGACTTCAGATATGGTAGGCACAGTTAATTTAAGGTGGTTTAAAGGAAGGCTTAATAAATATTTAAATGATAAGGTCTGGCTTTGAATGTTTTATTTTTGAGTTTAGTATAGTATGTGGGATGGCCTAGATGAACCAATAGGTCCATTGTTCTTGAACTATATGCACTTTCTATAAAAACACCATTCAATTAAATTATTAGTGTTATATTAATATGTTCAAACGTATTTTCAGTAATAGAAGTCAAAAAGCATAATTTGGAACTAAAAATAAACCACTCCAAAAGACCAGACAATATGTTAAATTGCTTAAACCAAATTAATATATCTTTAGAAGCATCTTTTCTCATTGTTTCATTGACAATATATTACTAGTTAAAATCTATGGAATATGAGTGCCCCCAAATTCAATGTGCTAGAGTTAGGGCATACCTGAATAAACTCCCTTTTTGCATTAATACAGTCTCTGCAATCTGCATAGCATACTTGTGATCAATCAACAAATAATGTTATGAGAAATCTTATTGCACACTTAAATAAACTTATATCTTCATTGTTCAATGAAGTTATATGGACCTCACTTCATGACTTTTTGCAAACCAATATCTTTTCCATTTTTAATTCAGTGTAGTCCACCAAGAACAATAATGTACAACCGTCTTGCACAATCACACCATTCACTCATGGCTCTTCATAATCAAAACTATTAATTATTGATAAAAATATAAAATTTTATTCATCTCCCCAATGAAAATGCTACTGTATTAGTGAACCCAAATTAAAATTCAAGAGGTTATAGAAAGGAATTAAAAAGCTACAATGGACCAGTACTTAAGCTAACCTAATCCCTCTTGTTTAATGAAATAATGAAACTGGAGAAATTCATTAATGTTTTAAAGAAGAATTTATTCTGATGACTTTACTTTTTTTAATTTTGCACATAAATCTACACATACCCTGTAACATAAGACCTGCCGTAAACTTTTATTTCAGTATTTGATTAAGTTATTGGCATAATTTGTTTTTTAAACAATTCTGCTATATTAAATTATTCACTAATGTTCAATATTATACATCACAACTAATAACAACAGCATTTACAAAAAAAAATGTATAATAAAGGTTTCAGAGCAACACCTTTATGACTAATACAGTAGAGCTTTTCTTAATTTCTCTACAAGTAGTTTTAATGTTAGAAAATTCCATTACTTTTTATACATGTCTGTATTAAATCAGATAGCCAATCTGAATGTGTAATGACCATTTAAGCTGTGGGACATACCTGTTCATGAGGGTTTAGTCTCTGTTCTTCAAAACAAAAACACTGCAATGAAAATTAGAAATGAAATTGTAATATTATATTTCTAACCCCAGATTGTTTTGTTTCAAAACAAATACACTAATCAAAGTATTGTAATTTCATACAAACTAAAGCTACAAGTAGTAATAACATTATATTTTCATACAAGTAACAAAAAAAAACAAAAATTTGGAAAATTCCATTGAAACCTTGTATTAGAAATAGTAAAGAATACCTTAGAGTGCTCATTAATATCCTTAACACTTCACAAATGTTGTTTTAATGAAAACTACTCAGTGAGCTTTTCTGCAATTGGACTTTTTTTAATTATTCACATGCCCCATCTCTGCCTTAGATGCATCTCCCTTTTCTGTAATTGCATAATCTTAAATTATCCGCACATCTGTATTTGCTTCATGATTGTTATTTCAGCAGGTATGGAAGTGTACATGCACATGCATACATTGTATGTAGGAAAAATTGATACAGAAATTTAAAATAAATGTTTATGCTATTTCATAAATATTTCCTGTTACAATAATTCTTCATTGTTTGTCAAACATAACAAATGAAAAGTGTGTGAGCAGGAATAAATAGGGCATGAGTGAGCCACTGTAGTCTGCAGAAAACATCAGTGCATCAATTTCACTTTATATTTGAAAATGTATTTCAGATAGGTAGTCATCTCTCTGTATCACAAAGAGCTATTACCTCGTATAAACTGTCATGATCTTTCCTACGCATTCCACAAACCCTGAACAAAACTCTTACCCCTATACTTGTCAACTTGTTTGGTCCCAGCCTATGATGATGTAATCTTCATTAAACTATAGCCCTCCACCAAAAGGAAGGGCAGCATATGCTCCATATGCAAGAATACCCAGGAACACTAGTACAAGAACATAGAATAATTCTTAATAAGGCAAACTAAATACACCAGAAGTGGGAAAGAAGAGTGGGAGATGGTGCACAGAAGTATCTGTCTGAAATAATTTTTTCAAGTAAGTAAAATGTTAACTTCGGAAATGTTACTTGCTTCTATGCACCACAAAAGAGTTAGAATCCCATACTGAAGATAGTGGAGAAGCCAGCAATAAGAAATTACAAAAATGAGCTCCTTTCCAAAAAAACCATTAGAAAGGGAAAGATGTGACACATATGAGGCAGGGGTCAGCACCCTGTGTGAGACTACATCCATATCTAGCAGGAAAAAATCTTTGCCCAAAAGAGGTGATACAGCAAAATATTATCATAACAAGTTACTGAGGTGGGTGAAATATAGGATTATTCAATCATCCACTATCTCAAATGCAGACAGCTGAGAATATATGAATAGTGTAGCTAGGGCTATAAGTCAGGCTATTCCATATTGGAGAAATACTCACCAAAGAACGAGGTTCAGGGAGTACCATTCCAGGCCTGTATCCTAAGGCAAACCTAAGACCCACCCAGCTGGACCTAATTGCCAGGAATGGCTTAGTTCATAACATATAGAAGTATCCTGTACTACACTACCAGGTGAAACCCCAACCATATGTCCCAAACAAGAGATATATTCACATAATGAAGAATTTACCTTATTAACTTCCCCCACAGCTTGGGAGTAAGGAAGCAAGGGTTCTCCTTACTCCAAAAGAAAGAATGGGAGGCAGAGGGAATTGTGTTTGGAAGAACACTGGAAAGATATGTGGATTGTTGTCATCAGTCACAATCATATGGATAGTGGACTGCTGTTTAGATAAGTTCAAACAGCAGATGAGTGTATTTTAAAGTGAAAACCATTGATGGCTTCAATTAAGTAGTTAAAATTGTGTAAATATGAAACATTGGTTTTAATTATTTATTAAATTTAAATAGCAATAATCATTTCACAAGAACCTTTGGTTAGAATGGGGAATGGCAACTGGAGGGAGGCAAAAGCCAGAAGCACAAGTAGCAGCCATGTGATGAAGTGAATGTGATACAAACTTGTTAGGTATCATCCAGCCTTTAGGATCTGTGAGATGAAAAACACAAAGGTTCCCTCTTGCCATTCTTATCAGGGCACATATATGCAGACCCAGTACACAATCAACACCAGGCCACTTGGGAAGCTGAAATTCTGACAACATAGGAAGGGGGAATGCAACGTGATGGATCTCTCAGATCCAAACCATGGCAACATTGGGAATTTATCATCCAGTCTATGGTAGGATGAAAACTCCCTATCAATCACATATGTAAGAACTAATGTTGGCTAGTCCAGCTCTAATCTAACACAAGATCACCCAGGAACTGACATTCAGGCAGTGGTAAGATGAGGGTTCCCAGCTGAAGGGATGAACTGCACTTTGGATGATCATTTCCAGTCCATAATCAGGTGACATCAGGTATTTTCTTCTGGTCCATAGTAGGATGAGGGTTCACACCATCTACACTGACAGAACACTAATACCCTACTCTCAACTAAATGGGGTTGAGTACACACAGGAAGATGCCTCCATGGTTCACCACCAGCAGCTAGGTAAGTGGCAAGGACTCCCATACTCTACTCAAAGAAGGGAATGAACAAAACAGTAGGGAGTCTAGAGGAACACAACACTAGAGAAAGTGCAATGGGTGACCACAAAACCCTAATTTTTCAATCGGTCAGAGGGATGGGTAGCTATCCCAACACTGCTTTACTCATGATAGTCAAGAAATGAAAAAACAGCTACCCAATGAAGATAGTGGGAGATGAATGTATGAGTAGTAGGCCACATGCCTGACTGACGAGTTTCCTCCAATGGAAGACGAAGGTGAGACTCCAGGAACAAAGAAAGGTGCCAGATCTTAAGCAAAGACACATGGAACAGAATTCAGGAAGAAAAATACAGGGAAGAAAAGACCAGTCGAATCAGTTGACAATCCAAAATCATAAAAGTAGAAGAACAAAGGTAACATACAGATCAAAGGTGCCAGGGAATGAAAAGATGGAAATGAGAACCACTAAAGGAGGCCATGTGGGCAATGGAACAATGAAGAGGACATACTGGACATAGAAGTCTATTTAGAGCAGCCCGGGAATAAAGGTGGGAGAGGGATGGAAGAGAAAATGTCAAGATGAAAGAATGACCTTCACGAGCCACTGATTTCCTGAGGAGGAAAAATAGTTCTGACTGAGAAAATCCACTGCCAGGGTCAGAAGATGATTAACTGGAAACCAAAAACGAAGTAACTTGTGTTGGAGTAAAGTGGCAAAAGGAGCAAGAGGAGGAGTATCCCACTGATTGCATAGCCACCAGAAAACCTGAGGATTGAGAAACCACTCCGTGGGATAACCTGGTGGAGTCTTAAAAATGATCTGCCACAAAGTGAAAAGCACCTGGAACATGACAAGGAGATTTATCTGCAGCTTATGGGCCCAATACAAGAGATCCAATGTTTGACCACAAAGGGAACAGTAACAGGTGCCCTCATAGTGATTAAAATAGGCCACAATGGTAGAATTGTCGGAATGGAGCATGATATGTTGGTACTGTAACAGAGGAAAAAAATTAACTAAAGCACATTGTACCACCATGAGCTTCAAGATGTTGAAATGGTAAGATATTAGAATGTGAGACTATTGCCCAGAAGCCTCTTGTTGATGGACTAACACTCCCCAACTTTGGAGAGAAGCATCTGTCATTTGATACAAATCTGGATGAGGTGGAAAAAGCAGTACTCCCTTCATTATGCTGTCCATGTGCCGTGCAGAAACCTCTGAAGAGAACGCATATGTACCCAACCCAAAGAAATAAGAGCTTCCATAGAAGCCCAAGTCCTGAAAAGCAATAGAACCTTTTGTGCAGAAATATAGGAAGCATTAAATGCAGGGAAAACTGAAACCACTGGTGAATGGAGAAGAATGGACCCAAATGAGGGGGGTTTGAAAAATACACCCAAATGGATAAGATAATGGGTAGGCAAAAAAAAACTTCACTAAGTCAAGAAGAAAACCAACACAAGCTGCTATTGGTGACAATGAACCCAACTTCAAGACACATGGTTAAACTTCGACCCCCTAGTGGTAGGAACTGGTAAAGGATGGGAAGTTGCAGGATGAGAAAGAGTTATGGGAGAGGACATGGTATCAGTATAAGAAAAAAGGACTAAAGAGTCAAATTTGGACTCTCAGAGTTCACACGTGGTTCCAAAGACTCTCTGGAAAATCTCCAAAAACAAACCAATGGAGAAAAAGGGCCATCCAAAAGTCACAAAGATAAAAGGTAGACGAACCTGTGAAAAGAAGCATCCTTCCCAATATGATCCTAACAGCAACAAAACCATGTGTGAAGGGATAGGGCCAAAGAGAACAATAATGCCTAGGATGAAAGAGGGGAAGTGTATCCCCCATAAAACCCTCAGGAGATCATTGGAGTACCTAAGAAAGGAGGTGTATATTGGACTAGTACTGAAGGAGAACTGTAAGGGTAAAACGAAGGTGGAAAAATGGACGTAGAAAAAATGGACAAACCAAAGCATAAAGATCAGAAGTCCATGGAGGATGATGCATGCTAACATCTCTCCTCAACTGAGAAATGAAATGCTCAGCATGAACCCTGATGTCAGGGGAAGAAGGGAAAACAAGGGATCCTAATGATCGGTGTCATGTGCAAAAAAGGGAAGGAACAGTATCATATGAAAATGGAACATACCTGAAAAAGCATATCCAAAAAGGCAGAGTTAGGCCTAGTAGATCTCGTGGGAGATGGAGAGAAAGTCAAAATCCTCCTCATCATGAACAGGTTCAGACAATGCAGGAGGAACCTGAACACTGTTGGGAGAAAAAGGCCACCTCATATAAGGATCAACCTCCTGACAAATGAAAGCTGAAAAATCCTTAGTTGATAGCCTCAAACCAGAAGCCAGTAATGGTACTTGAAGTAGTGGTAATTATATCAGAAGTTGTAAAACAAAAACTTCAGAATTCATATTAAACCATGAAAAAAGTTGAAATTCAGGAAAAAAATCAAACGGCAAACTGCTACAGAAAAATCTAAGTGTAGCAAAGGAATAAATCAAGTAAATCACAAGTAAAATGAAATGAAAACGTAAAAGAGCACAATTGAAAAACGTCTGCACTCGATCACTGCCTAACGAGAAGTGATAGTTCAGTAGAATCAAATAGAGAGAGAGAGTCACGTGTCAGGATAGTGTGTCACACTCATATTAAGATGCAGTTGAACCACATTGATCATGGGGTACATGGGAGTTCAAGGCTTATGGCATTCTACAAAAATTTTGCATATAGAGGTCAGCACTGAACGAGAAGAACTATACATGTGAGAGGAGGTAATGTACCATATCGGAACTGGAAAGGGCACAGGATGAGGTGACAAGGATATGAATGGAGCAAAACAAGAGTTAGAGGACAGAAAAGGAAAACATTCTGTGGGAAAGGAAAAATGGAAGGTATTGGATAAGGCTGCCAGATAACCAACAATGGTAGCCATAGAAGAAACAATGTGAAACAGCAAGGTAAAATTGTCAAAGACCATCTACTCTGATACATCAGTAAGGACAAAGAACAGACTGAATGAGAAAGAAGGGATGTCACACACATAGAGAGTCCAGACTGCCTCATAAGGGTCCAGATAAATGCCATGCATGATTCTGGAGTGTAGTAATAATGGGATGACACACAAATGACCAAGGTTGTTGACACAGTGAGCAGGCAAGAGGAAGTGGTAACGGAGGAGAAGACTAAAATAGGATAAGAACAGGAAACGAAAGTTGTGCAGACCAGAAATGTGCAATGAGAAGGACTAGACACAAAAAAGTATGGGGAAAAGGTAAAACTTGAGGAAGGACAAGGAAAGTAGGGCAGGCAAAAAAATTGGAGGAGGGACCAATCCTGACTGAAGACATTCTACTGTCAAAGCCAAAGGATGTGGAACCAGGGATTAACAAACAGGGTTGGCTTGGAATTATAGTGGGCGGCTAATGTGTCCAGAAGTGGAGTAACCCACTAAATACATGACCATAGAAACAACTGAGGAACTAGGGATCACTCCATGGGGATAATCTTGTCAGGACGAGAAACTATCCGCAACAACATTCAGAGCACCCAGAACCTGACACCCTATTAGATGTGCAAGGTTTGAATGGGCCTAGAATAAGAATTCTAACATTCGAAATGAAACAAACATGTACGAGTGTCCCATTGTCAATTGATAAAATACACAATGGTTGAAATGCCAGAATGGATCATGACCAATTTCTCCTGTACGAAAAGTTGGAAAGGATAAAAACTCAATGAATGGCAAGAAACTGCAGAGCATTAATGTTGTTAGACATACATGATTGTTTTGTTTAAATTTAATATAAGAATTATGATCTAGATAGTTATAAAACTCGAGTGTTAAATTTAGTATTTTTAAAAGTGAACATTTATCACTGGTTTGCTTACGTAACTGTTTATGAATAACTTATGGCATAGTTCAATTGCTACTCCAACCGTTGGAAAGTTTCTCATTGCTTTAAGTGTGTATTATTATATCTCAAAGTTTGTAGAAAGTTCTAGGCCTCACTCAAGCAACATATTTATAGGCAACCAAGTTAATAAGAACTAAATTAGCAAAAAGTAAGACAAAGTTAGTGAGAGATATAGTCAAATAGATCTAGACTGTGTTTGTAAATTGAGCCATAAAGAGTGTATAGTGGTGACTTTTAAAGTGTAATAATTGCAGATTGTATTGTAATAACAGAGTAGAGAAGTATAATTTGTCTTGTCAATTGGGTTCTACAGTAACTGAACCAGCCTGTGTAAACTTTTTACATAAAAGAGAAGAAGGAGAACTGAGTCCAGGGGATTCTAAGAAAGATTCTATTTATTGTGCAACACCCACTAAAAGGTGTGCAAATGAGCAGGGCCATAGGAAATGAGGGCTTCCATGGAAGACCAAGTCCCCAAAAGAGAAAGAACCTTACATGTAGTAAGAGAAGGAGAGGATTAAGGGTTGACAACCAGAAGCTCTATCAATCTCAACTGAAGAGGAGAAGGCTGGGCCTGACTGAAATAGGAGTAGATAAACCCTCTAAAGAAGTTATATTTTATCATCCCTAAAAAGAATAGTCCAAGAAGATACTGAGAAGAAAACTGGATCCTAAGGAGGAAGGAAAAGATTGGGATATGAGGATTAATAAATAACTTGACGAAGAGCCACTGAGACCTGGAAGAAGGTAACAGTAAAAAGGATAGAAAGGGGAGGGAAGGAAATACAGGAAGGGGATCAGGTGAATGCTGTGGAATACAAGAGATCAAGGAGGAAAGGAAGGAGTAGTGAGGAGCAGCCCTCATCCTGGACTCGAATGAGTTAGAAAAATATCTATAAATCACTCAGCATAAAAATTAAAGCCAAAAGAAGGACCCAGAATTTAGACATGGGTAGGTGCAAAAAAACAAAAAGTGCATGCCCATCCACAATGACCCAAAAACAGAGGAGCTAAGGATGTAAGGAAAGAGCCAAGAAAAACAAGCTCACAAATGTGGAATACAGGAGGAAGCAAGTATCCTCCAACCACCCTCAGGAGAGTGGTGAACAGCCGTGAATATGAGATGGATACAGGAAAGGTAATGCAGGAAGTTGGTAAGGATCATACACAGATGGAAAACTTGAGCCTAGGAAACATTTAACAGTGGTATCATGGACACTTTCCTGCACTAGAATAAAAAAACTTCAAGGTCTAAAAGTCCATAAATGGAAAATTAGAATGATGGAACACTAATTCATAAGTACCTGAGGGACAAGGAGGACGAGGCATGCTGACTTGAGAATGTAATAGTGCAATATACAGGTTCACAGGTACCCGACCTCTGGAGAAGGACAAAAAAAAACAAAAAAACTAGCGAATCCGAGGAAAAAACAGAATTCGGGAGGGAAGGAGAGGAATCATTAGACACAGGGGAAGTAACCAAAAGATAATATACCTGTGACACCATATCTAAGTAGGCTGAAAACAGTCTGGGAGCTTCCAAAGTAGGAATTTGGGATTCTATGACAAAGGAAGGAGGATGAAACAGGTATCCAAATCAGCATTTTCCTGTTGTGGTTCCCCAGAAAGAGGAAAATTTGGTCTGTGATCAGGAGTCACAGCAGGACGCATAATGGACCCCAACTCACCATGTCCTAAGAAACGATATCTCCTCAGCAGAAAGCGTGAAGTCCAAAGCCTAAAAAACTGCAGATTCTGGTGCAGTCGCAAATATTAACAAAAATAATAGCTGTTGTCAATTGAAAAATGGAAATTAAAATTCAACTGAAAGTGGATAATGAAATATCAACCTATATTATCTAGTTTCACTGTACAAACAAAAATTGTTAAGAAAAACTAGAAACAACTAATAAAGTTGTTGAAAAAATTCAACTGTTACCACAAAATACCATGCAAACACGAGTGAAATTTTGAAACCTCTACACTCTAATGCGCCAATTGAGAAGTAAAGATTGAGTTCTACAGTATTGAGGGAGCCAGCTGCAACAGGAGTGTGTCATAATCCAATTGATGGAGGGTTGTCACATGATTATTTGCATGTTACAATGCAGCTGGACTATGTTTAACATGTGGTGTAAATGGGAGTACCAAGGCTAGCAGTGGCAAGTGAAAGTTTTTGTGGAGGTAGAGCTATTATGTAAAAAGAGGAAAGGTATCATATCAAAAATTGGAGATTGAGTATCAAACCAAAACAATGGGTTAATGATGATGGGGAATAGTACTGTCAATAAAAACCACATCACAGCCTCTGGAACATATGTCCTAAACTTCCATAATTGGGTAAAGAGAAGAAGTCAAGTTAATATAATTCAAAGTAGAAATTCTAACTGAATTGCTTAAAATTTTGTATCTTTCTTTCTAATATTCTAGAAAATAAAGATAAGAAAGACTATATAATGAATGGTAACTACAAGTTTAAAATAATAAGTGCAAAGAGTGTATTTCTTAATAAAAAAAAATGTATGAAGCCAAGCAGTGCTGAGAAAAGAATAAGCTGTGTGATAATACACCACATGCTCAAGGAGTTTACTGTGCACGGAGGATGTGTCGCTGTCCTACTGGCAGAGAGATACAGATTAATGTGCAGTACATGTTAATAAATGTAAGGATGGGAGTTTCATTCCAGGCTTGACACATGAGCAAAATTCTTTTGGGCAGTGGTGTAAGATAATAGCTTTCATTTGTGGAGAAGTGAGTAGCATTTCTGAAAATATGTTTCTACTAGCAAAGTTTTATAAAAAAAAGTTAACTTTCAAAATAACTTTATATTGATATTACATCTGCGAGATGCTTTTTTGTTAAATACTTTTAAATACATCCATTTCTAACCTGGATCTTGTTGAAATACTGTCCAGCTTCAAAAGGAATTACATTATATGTAGCTATTCCATCAACTGGGACATCTGTAGGATTTTTTGCTGTGTAAAATGCAAGCACAGTTTCTCCAGGAAAAACCTGCAAATAGTTTGTAAACTCTCAACATTAAGTACAGCATTAACAGCACAGTTTGATACAAACAGTTTGGCACAACTTTGGATATTATAATGAACATCAAAATACCACTATCCATTCAGTATTATTAATGTTTCTAATTGTTATACACATCCATGTTTCTTCTGCTAAGATAAAAAGTACTGAACTGGTACGAAATATAAAATACTTTGAATTTAAGGTAGTTCTTAACATAGTTCGCATTTGATAAAAATGACAAAAGTAACAAAAATTCAGTATACATACTGAATATTTTATTAACCAATAACAGACTTTGTTCAAATGAAAATAAATAATTATAACACCAGTAAAGAGGTAAGTTAGTAATTTACAACTCAAAAACACAGAGGAAATGTTATGAACACTATATATATAATAATGCAAACTTTTAGATTTGATTCTGAAATGTTTAAGGTCAATAAGTAAAGATATCTAACATTCAGTAACAAAATCTACAAGTTTAATTTTCTCTATTGACTATTAACAAAAACAATATATGTTAAAATGTTCTAGTGTAAAGTTAGTTCAGTTGGTCAACATATCCTATTTTACAGTTTCCTGAGAATTAGATAAAATGTTTCATTTAATTTTGCAAACTAAATACAAAAATTAATTGACCAACATTTGAAAATGTTCTTGATTCTATCAATAACTACACCACCTAATAGTGAACAAGACCAGCCCTGTCCAATAATATGCAATATATCATTCACCCCACCTCAACATGGGAAAGACAAACAACATAAATCCTGAACTTAGAATCTAAAGTATTCAACCAAACAGGCATCAGAAAAGTGCATACATAAAAATGAAGTTTGGATCTTACAGTGCAGTACTGTAAAGAAATATATTTTACTCTTTTGGACAACTTTGTTTTTTGAAAAGTTTTAAAAAACTTTTACATTTTACAAATATACATACTTAACCATTTTGATGGTGTGTCATTTTCAAAAATTATACATTTTATCCATTGTTATATTCTACCTAAATAAATATTCACAATGTTTTTTTATCTCATATTTTATAAATTAGGCACATGGAATTTGTGAAAAAATAAAGACAACATCACATTCAAATTTTACAAATATATGTCAATAGGTGCAGAATAGGTTAATATCACAAAATTTTTTTAAAGTAAGGAAAAAACCTGCAACTCTCTTAAGTCACTCAGTGAAATTCTAGCACACAGATTTAATGTATGTTCACTCTACATACTCCAACTTTATGTCTTCAGACAACTAAGAAGGCAGATTCTTTACTTCCAATTTACAAATACCTATATTTCTAAAAGTAGGATCAACAATTCACTTTTAAACAGTGAATAAAAACACACTAAACTTTATGAAAATATCTGTCACTACTTTTACTGCAGATTTTATCCAGAAATTAGTATATCTATATTTCATGTAAAACAGCAAAATAACCATGAAAATTTAATGTTTTTTTATATTTTTCACATTCAGTTCAAACTTCATCACTGGCTTTTTGTCACAAATTTGTTTTAAGTATCAAGGAATATAACCTTATTTTTATGCTTAGCTATTATATAGATTTTTGAAAAAATTTAAGTCTTTTTTTACAGTTGTTTCAACCTACAAATCACAGAAAAACAATAGAAAAATGCACATATGTTTATGTAAAAAAAAAAAATAATAATTTCCAATTCTCTTAAGAATTCAAACCTCTTAAATAGATGACAACAGACTGTCCAAAGTTGGTATGGGCTGATAATTTTCTACAGAGACCTTCACTTTTCCTTTGGTCTTCTGCAGGTCCCAATATATATTGTCTAATTCAATGGCTTTTATATGCAGCTCTTCTTGGTATCTTTAATCTTATAATGAAACACTTAAGTTTTTTCAGTGAGCAGCTTGGTTATGGTTGTTTTTCTTCAATCGTGTGATGTCCACTAAGCTAAGGTATTTTGGAATGGGCTGTGTTGATTTAATAGGTAGCTCTGCATCAATATATATCAATTCCACAGTGGTAAAAATTGTGACAGATCTGATTCTCCTGATATTAAGAGTTCTTTGAATATTCCTTTTTAATATTGGGAAGAACTACTGTGCAGTCCAATCATACTGTATCACTATATATATGTCATAGAATTTTTAGAATGTGCAACAACTTCCTCAACCAAAACCTCACATGAGCTCTCAGTCATCACAGATCAATGAAGCAACAGAGGTCACTGACAGGCAAACAAAATCATTGTAGTCATAAGTTAAAATGAAATGGTCTCCAACTTTGGTACAATAGTAGGTTTAACTGTCTTTTAAGAAATGAAAAAGCAAGACAGGCAGTAGTCAAGTGTTTGGCTTTCAACTGCTAGTCAGGACATTAAATGTCAATTCAGTTCCTGATAAGTAAGAAGTGAAGTCAGTAATATATGGTAACAAATGACCTTACTGGACACCAAATAATTCTTTCTAGGAAACACTTCTAAGGAGTCATCATGAAGAGTTTGTGCTATTTCCTCTAACTCAGTATATGCATGTACCTACATTTGAATATATTTCTCTAGCAGTAATGTGATACAGCAAGGTTTTTTTAAGAATTTAAACAATCTCCTATGAAACACCCTCTAATGAGCCATTAACTGACAATATGAATTTGGCATAGCTCTACTCAGATGAAATCTTCCACTGTTAATACAGCCAATTTATTGGTTACTAAACCTTGCTTCAGAAGCACTGGCCACTTATTCTGGCCTTTTGGGACTCCATACTACAAGGTTAATATTCCTACATTAATTTGCCTCTGATAAATGAGCAATTAAGTTCTACTTGTTCTAAATGAATATATAAAAAAAATATTTACCTGTAGAACTTGAAAGGAACATTCTCTATTGTTCTAATTATTCAGACAAAGCTGCAAAATCTACAGTTACTTCAATTATTACCATGTAACAAACCCCTTTTATGACCTAGCAATGATAGTACTATAATTTTTGTTAAGACTTTTGAAGCTTCAAATTCTTCTGAACTTAAATTTAAGAAACATTTATAATCACTATTGCGATCACACCTATGCCATTGATCTGAGTTCCAATGTTACCGAAGGATTGTCCTGAATTGTTCCAAATTAGTTGATATGACAACATTTGCAAAACCTTTTAATTTTACAGTATAACTCTTTCAATATGGGGTTGCTCAATGTAACCACCTCGTAATCATTTTGTGCTTGATAAAGTTTTTATGCTATAACTTTTAAGTTAGTAAGCGAATGTGTGTCTTCATACTTAATTGTCTCCTTTGATTTTTCTTTATATTTAAGAACCACATTCCACTTTTATGATCACCTCTATCACCTTACAAGTGTATTTGTCCTCATTGTCAGCAAAACTATACTGGTTCTACCAAAAGAAAATTACTAACACGTGTACAAGAACATGCTAACCTAAGATCACCTAAAATTAACCTAGGCAAAAGTCTTGTTGTCATCATTCCAGTTCATTTAAAATCTTAGCCAGGGCCATTAATGAACAGAGCCTCCAAATAAAAGAGAGCTCATTTATAAACTGAGTTCCAAGATTAATGTTCTCACATAAGAGTGTAGTGAACAGTAAATGTTTTTTTTTAATATACAGCATTAATTTTTAAATTAGTTAGTCCAAAAGCTCATGGTCATCAAAGGTAGGTAGGAGACTTTAGTATTTATTTGTTATTTAATTGAACATATTGTGTTTTACTTTCTGGTTACTAAATTTTTTATGGTGGTAGAACTTCACATTAGTGACATCATTAAATAAGAGCAAGTTAATGTGGTTGATAGCTTATTTAATTGTAAAATTCATATTATATTTAATATACCCAAAAATAAGTCAATTTCAGAAATAATTAAACTCAGATATGGTAAATCAATAATAACTTCTTATCAGAAGTGTTGAAAGACTACATCTGAAATACTCTAAGAATGAACTACATTTATATTTTCCAAATGAATGTAAACATTTAAAAGTGTTTCCTCATTTTCTCAACTTTAGGTTTCTATTCCTCAATTTTGCAATTCAAAACAATATTGTAAAACTCAAATTGAATTACTTAATTTTGAAATTAGACAAAAAAAATCAGTTATTCAAATCATTAACTAGACAATCCACAGAGGCAATTAAACTGTTGGAAAACAAATTTTTTGAATTTATACATTTCATTGAGTTACAAAACAATAAAATTTTGGTGAAGTTTAGAAGTAAACAATTGTATAAGTATAACAATTTGAGGCGACAGTAGGTAAAAATTATTTTATAGAAAATCCTGATAAAATGATATTTAGTTATTCAAAGTAAATGTTAAATGATGTTCATAAAAAGGTTTTGGCTCATGGTTTAAAATTTGGTATTCCCAATAGGCTTAAATTTGAATATTATTTTGTACAATTTGAAAAGTTTTTGCAAATATTGTCACATCAACCAATTTGGAACAATTTAGGACAATCCTGTGGTAACATTAGAACTCAGATCAGTGGTATATCTCTGAGTGCTTTTAATAATTACAATAGTGATGATAAATGTTTTTTAAATTTAAGTTAAGAATAATTTAAAGTTTTAAAATACAATATAAAAAATTAAAGTATCAACATTTCTAAGTCAAACAAAGGGAAGAGCATTGTAATTTTAGATAAAAGTGATTACTTACAAGATGCAGATACTCAAATCTTCCTTCAAATGCCAAATGGGCATATCCCACAACCACAGTTACGCTTGTGTGTCTAATTCACATGTCCTACAGTGTAAGTATTTTACAGGGACAAATGCAAGTTTCCAAAGATGCATAACTGGTACATAAAATAAGTTTGAGTTCAAGCTTAAAGAAAAGGGGAAGGAAATACTTGGTATGCAAAACATGTCAGGTGCTTCTTTGCTTTTTAGCATAAACAAGTGAATGTGAAAAGTTCACCTAAAAGTGTTTTAGATATACATACTTGCAGGCATATGTTAAGTTTACAATGTGCTGATGTTCAAGTTACCTACTGTCACAAGTCATTCCCCTCTGATACCATTTAAATTATTTCACATATCAGGTTGTAGTGGAGTTGGATATTTTATGGGAGGACCAACTGTGTAGCAGGTTTAGTGACATCTGAAGGCTGTGTCCTCCCTGACTTAATGTAATGTTTAGACATGCCATGGGTATTGCATACACTCTACAGATACTATTGTTTTTCCTATATAGTGTCAACTCTCCCAGTCTGGCTCAGATTTTCTTCAGTCATGATCCCTCAACATGTTGTCTGTCATCTCTGTGCATTTTTCTTTGAATTGTGTTGTAATTAAAAAAATGTTACTTTTACTTTGTTTATACATTATGTTTGGGTTATTTTTTTCAATTCAATTAAAGTAGGAAATTCAGATTGAATTCCACATTATGTGTTCTGTTGAATCTCCTGTTATTGTGGTTACTATTATTACATGTAAGAAAATCAGTGTACCTAACAATACAAGTGTCAAAAAATTACTCAAGTGAACATTTCTTCAATAAATTCAGACTTGCCCTTTAGAAAAGTTTTTGATCATTCAATTTTTTTAATGATCTTAAAGTTATTCTAGATGGCTGGAGATTGTATGGTAAACAACACAGAAACTTGAAGAAGTGTTGTGTTTTTCTTTACCTAAAATATTTTTTTTTAACAGATATTAATTTCAAGGAAAACTCTCACCTTTATGCTTCTTTGTTGTGGTTTAAAGTTCCATTGTAGACTTGCAGCTGTATCAGCATTAAAGTGCACTGTAATAATTCTTTCTACATAAGGCTTCATTGTTTCTACTTTGTCTTTCTTACTATCAAGCACTGCCTGACCTCCTTTACCTGTTGCCTTGGAAATTCAGAGAATAGTTAAGTTATCAATTTATTCATTAATATTTTATTTGTATAGACCTATACTTCATTTTTTCAATTATAGTAAATGCAAGTTCTCACATTTCTTGTAAGAACTCATTCTGTTAGCTAACAAGTAGAAAAAAAATAATGCAAGAACCAGAAGAAAAAAAATTACTCTGAGCATGACAAATATCAAAGGACTAAATTGTGTTTGTGTGCATATGTACATACTAGCACTCCTGGCAGTACAGTCGAAGAGGATGGACCAGACGAAGAACGATACAGAAGATCTCAACTGCGGATCAGGGAATGTGCAACATTTTAAATGGCTGTGATGGCGGATAAAGGCTGCAATGGGGAAGTACTGCCAATCGTCTTGCTTGTCCATGCCTTTGGTACCAGCCTGCCAAAGTAGTGTGGTTAGTGTCTGTACCTCGCTATCCTCACTCTAAAATAAGTCACACTCAGGCTTCTCCTGGGCCATAAACAAGTCCTGCAGTGATAGGGAATGTGTATTTGACAACAAAGATATAAGAAAGAAAACCAAGTTGATGGTTTACAATGCAGTGATCATCACTGTTCTCCTATATGGCAGCGAAACATGGACAGTGTACAGAAGACATATCAGAGATGCATCTGTCAAATTCTTGGAATCAAATGGGAGGACAGAAGAACCAACATTAGCATACTCAAAGAGGCCGATTCCACAGGCATCGAAGTTTGGCTGATAAAAGATCAACTTCGTTGGGCCAGTCACGTTCTCCATATGCAGGTACATTGCTTTCCTCATTAAGTCCTCTTCTCAGAACTTCATCACAGCACTTGTTCTTGGGGTTGACAAGTAAAAACATGGAAGGATAACCTGAAATTAACCTCAAAAAAAGAATCCATTAACCTCAACACATGGGAGAAGGATGCATCTGATTATTCCCATTGGCATCGTCTAATACTTCCTGCAACAAAAATATTCGAAACTGATTGACGGGAAAATGAGAAGCAGAAGCGACAGAAGAGGAAAGAGAAAGGAACCAAACCTTCTTTGCAACAATGTCTTCCTCTGAGCATTATCTGCCAGAGGTGTTCCAAACAATGTAAATCTTGAATTGGACTGTTGAGTTACATGAGAACACATTCACTCTAGGAGACATCGTCTTCACTTGCAAAGGACTGCTGACGACATACTAGCAGAAATGCCTCCCTATGGGCAGTTCTTCGGTCAGGATTTTGATGAGCTGAACCGTGTGCTTTTTGTCACAAAATTCCTTTGGTCACAGAACAATTCAATTCATAGCATACACTTAGATTCTCCAACAGAAAAAGTCACTTTTCTTATGAAATATCACAATTATTCTCCACTAAGAAGACTCACTTATAAATTCTGCATTAATCTCCCTTTACCACAAGTTTAGAAGTTTTATTAAAAAATTAACTTTGTTGATAATAATAAATGTACAAAATTAAAGTACATTATTAACAAGGATAAAAGTTCAGTTTCTCCACTAAAGAAGCGAGTTAAGAAAAAATTTTACTAAATAAGGTTCTATTATTTTTTTAGTTTTAGCAAGGGTATATTTTATAACATTTTTCATTTTGGTACAATATAAAGCTGTTATTTCTTTAAAAAAGTGTACACATGCACTAAATAAACTTTTGTTATAAGAGACCCAATTGTAATTTAAGTTTTAAAACAGACAGGCTAGCTTCAATTGAGGCAGTTATTTTTCTAACAGAATAACTGACTTAATGAATGAGTTGTTATCAGCAATAGTGGTAGCCAGTAGAAGTTTCAAGAGGGAAATCAATAAATTCCTGAAAAGTAAACAGTGGGTTTAAATTTTTTACTTTTTTCCCAATTTTGGTAGTATGATCATATTTGTATCCCTACTGAACAGGCATGCTATTTCTTAAAAAGGCTTTACACCTTGTACCTTTCTCACTAAATTGAATGTTTTAATTCCTTTGATCCATACACACAAATTTGTAATATTCCTATACTGAAAATATATTTCAGATAGGAACTTACTTCCGCTCAAATAAATAGCTATTCTAGTTCAGTGTTGCTTTCTATATGCAAAACAATTTTTTGCATGCCACAAGCCTTGAGTTCCTACATACCTTAAAATCAAATGGTTCAACTGCATCTCACATGTAAATCATCATGTGACAACCCTCCACCAATAGGAGTGAGACACTCTCCATATGCAACTCCCTCTATTCACTTCTACCAAAATTAATGGTAAGAAATATAAATTATAAAGAATGACAAAAATGAAAAAGTCAATATATTGTAAATGTTAAGAAATTATGTAGTGAAATAAACATATGTATTGGATGTTATGTGTTGAAGAAAACAAGATATTTAACCTAAAGATTGATTTTCCCATAAGTAGAACTACAAGTAAACTAAAAATAACAGACACTTGTTATGCCTTATCGAGCAGTGCAGGACAAAGTATATCACTAGGCTCTGAATTAAAAACCCTAATCTAACAATAAGTATGTACAATATCAGGAGAAGTCTGTGTGGACCCTGGCTCCAGGGTTCTGTACCAACAAAGGTAATAATAATAAGAAAAAAGATAAATTATACCAAAAATGAAATAGATGTTATATTGTAAATTTAAATAAGTGTGTGTATTAACAATAACATCTGTATGAGACGTGATGTACGGAAGAAAAAAAAAAGAGTTAACTTCATGATTGATATACCAGTAGGATGAATTGCAGGTAATCCTAAAATAACAAAGATCCATGTTAAGCCTTATCAAACGGTATAGGAAAAAGCATACAACTAAGCCTAGATTCGAACTTGAACTTAACTATAAGTTGACCAATCTAACAAAATGGATGTTATGGAACCCAAATAACTACAGATAATAATAATAATAACAATAGACATATTCAAAAACCATAACAGTATAACGTCTTATCTTTCCAAAGTCAGCGAATGTGTTTCAAAACGTGTGGGCTCCTCAATTCGAGTCTAGATCAGATGAAGGGCAGCTCACTGGAGGATCAATTTACAAATATCACCATTGTATAATAAATAGTAAACTTGTTGAGAGAAATTGATACAAAGATACAAAAGAAAAAAAAAGAAAAACTCTCGAAGGGAGCACAAACTAAACGTCACAACATAAACACTGCCAAACAAGAAATGATAGTTCAGTAGAAGTGAATAGAGGGAGTCACGTGCATTAGAAGACTGTGTCACACCCCTATTGGTAAAGGGTTGTTGCATGATGATTTACATGCTAGATGCAGTTGAACAATTTGATTGTAAGGTACATGGGAGCTCAAGGCTTGTGGTATGCAAAAAAATTATGTTGCATATAGAGGGCAGCATTGAAAGAGAATAGCTATTTATGTGAGAAAAGATAATGTCCCGTATCATAAAAACATTTCCATTTTTTGAATATCTATTATGATTTATAATTGATCATTTATCACTTATTGAAGACATTATCTAAAACAATCTGGTTATATGAAATGATTGTTCAGTATAGATATATACATATGATTAACTCCTGTAAAATTAAATTCAAACAGAAGGTTACATAAGGATAGACAGTAATATTAATTGACTCACAAACTAAGTTTCTTAATTCCACTACCTTCTTTCACTTTCAGGTGATACCCCACAAAACATTTCCTGTAGCAGTATTAGGTCAAAGATTTACTATACTAAATAACAAGTATAGGAAATAATACATAACCATAACAATACTCATTTATTTTTAAAAAGAAACTTTAATTGATGTACATTTGAAAAGACAATAGAGCTGGGCAATTAGTAGGATCAATTAAGGTATATGCTGTGTGCAATCTACCTAACTGTTGTACAGCTATGTTCTGTTAAGTTGGGATCTGTGTATCTCATGTTTTCTTGACAGGCAAGAATGATACTGTCTTCATCCTACTTCCTTTCTTTTCTTCTATATGGATTTTAAACTATTGTCCATTAGAGCTGGGTGATTAACTAAATTAACTGACACAGTTGATTACCTATGAGCATCAATTAGTGTCGTGTAAAAAACTGATTAATCCGAATTACAATTATATTGATTAATGTCACAAAATTAGCACAACAAAATAAATAGCTTCAAGGCAAGCTTGTTTTGGTTTTTGGAAATTACAGTCATCAGCACTTGTGATATAGGCTTTTGTTAAAATCCTCATATTTTGACAAAATGTATTTACAACAGCAATTAAAACATTATCACATTCATGTATATGTTTATATTATAATTCTCAATGTAAAACATGATTTAAATCATGAAATTTGCAATTATGTTTTTTATCAATAAAAAAATTTAAATTGTTGTCTTACTTGGCAATATATCCTGTAGAGTGGAACAGCAGCATAACTCAAACCTGCTACAAGGACAACCAGTGATGAGACATAAATCAAAACTGTTTTGTTTTTGAATCTCTGAGCTTCAGATATCCTTCCAAAAAATCTTTTTTGTTGAAATTCAAAACAAGATTTCTCTATTTTTCTAACACAAAAGCTTGGTCGGTGAAAGTCTTGAACATTACATTTCAATACTGCTGTGTGAGTACACCATGTATTCTTCAATGATAAATGTACATGATTAAAAACTGGTATGGAAGGCCAAGATAATATGTGTTTTTTACATGGTAAAAATCTTGTCAAATATTTCCTGACACAAGAAGTCATCTTGAAATAACAACAGGTTGTCTTCTCTCTTTAAAGTAACTCCAAACTGTAAATGAAACAAAAATCACACACACACACTTTAATATAAACATTGAAATCAGTATACTAAAATTAATCATTATTTTATAGTTACAGTGTGGGATGTTAATCATTGTTCTGCACTTGAACTGCTACATCACCACCAAAATAACCCAAACATATCTTACAGGCTCAGCCAGAATGCATTGTATGGGAACTCGTTGAATATAGACATAGACTACCAGAAATGTAGATAAGTAGTGTAGTCTGTAATCAGCATGAGACAGTAGCCATCTGCCAATAGCAGAACAACACATCTTCCATCCACAGTAGATCCCCATAAACACTTACTCTCAAAATTAACTTCATTCTTAGACAAGGCAAGAATAATATACACCAGTAGTGGAGAGGAATAGTGGGAAGGTGTGCCGAGAAGTATCTATTGGAAATACATTTCAGCAATGTAGTTGGGTCCACCCACCTGACTAGAATCAGAACTACATAACAAAACAGCAAAACTCCAGAAATTGACTCCTATACTGGTCACCCATTTTATAACTGCTCTCTCTTGTTGTGTATTCCCCTATACACTCAAGGAGGTTACAATGTGGGTTAATGGCATAAAACTAATAAGTAAAACATGTTTTAACACTGGCCATATATTACACACCAAAATATATATAATAACATTGACACTCATGCAACCACCCACTTCGAGCTGTATAACAGCTCTTATTAGTACAACTGTTCCTAATGGAAAGTTTAATTAAATTGCAGTTAACATAATTTAAAATGACAAAAACAACTAACAATATAACAAAAAAATACAGTCACAATATTCAATCATTCACATAAAAATAACTTTAGTTTGATTCATCACGTGAGTTGATGATCAAGCAGCATATGTGCTAATCAAAACACTCAGCAAAATCTACAAAAACATAACGGCTGGCACATCTTGAGTTCATGACTGCATGAAATGACATAGAAAGTATCTACTCCCATTACAATAGATTGGCTCATTGGATAGAAAACTGGTTGAACGGAAGAAAGCAGAGGATTGTTATAAATGGAGTTCAGTCAAACTTTGATTGCTTTCACAAGTGGAATACTTTAAGGTTCAGTGTTTGGACCTTTGCTCTTTTTGATTTATATCAATGACACAGATAAAGAAATGGTCAATAAATTATTTGAACCTGCTGATGATATTACGGTCTTGGGTGTTGCTAGCTATGAGGAGGATGCTGCTACTTTAAAAAAAGGATTTACATTATTTGTTGTGTTGGGCAAAAAAACAGATGGCTTTTAATCATAATAAATGAAAGGTAATACATGTGGGATATCATAATTTGAATTATGAGTAAAATTGCCATAGATTCCAGTGTTATGGAAAAGTGATATTGGTGTTTTAGTTGATAAATCTCTTAAGCTATCTAAGTAATATGCTACTGCTAGTGATAGAGGAAATAGGATTTTAGGTTGTATATGCAGAAATATTGAATACGAGTCTAAAAAAGTTATAATTTCATTGAATAGGTCATTAGGTCATTTTTGGAGTATTGTATTCAGTATTAGGCTCCTTACCTTAGGAATTGTTGTAAAGGGTTCAGAGGAGAGGTACGAGGATGGTAGCTGAAAGTTGTGATAAGAGGACAGGTTAAGATTTGAAATTGTTTTCTCTTGAAAAAAGAAGAGTTAGAGAAGATCTTATTAAGGTGTTCAAGATTGTTAAGTTAACTGATTGTGTTGTTGCATGATCTTTTTTTTCATATTTAATAGTGAGAATGGTAGGGTTAGGGGACAAAAAAATATATTTGTCAGAGTAAGAGCCATCTTCAGCTAAGACAGTTTTACTTTTATAACAGAGTAGATGGCCTTTAAAATAAGTTACTTTCAGATGTGATTGAAGCAATAAATTTAAGGGAGTTTAAGGGAAGACTTGATAAACATTTAAATGATAAAGGCTGAATGAGTCTTTTTTTTTTAATTTAGCTCAATGAAAAGGGGGGGGGGGTAAGTTAAGGCATACTGATTGGGAGACTAGTGTTGAAGAATATGGGTAAGTGATTCTTGGAAACTGTTAAAGATGGTTTTCTTTATCATATGGTTAGGAGTCCTCAAAGAGAGAATGCTATTTTAGATTTATTATTAATTTCCAATATGAATATGGAAATCCACTCAAAGTAAATGTATAGTAGAGATAGCCAATATGTTCAAAAATTCTATTTAAAACACAAAATACCATTTAAACATCCTTAGGTCATCATCAGGTTAAGAATGACTTTTGAAAAAAGTGACCCTTTGATCAGTGCCGGATTTACCTATAGGCTTGGCAGGTTAAAGCCTATGGCCCCAAAATCTAGGGGGCCTCCGGCCAAGGTGTATAATATTTTTGACACTGTCATAGGCCTTTCTTACTCATGCTGTCATAATGCAATGTAGTCTCTAAACAACCCTTTAGTAATTTTCCTTGCACTCTATTTCAGAATAATATTGTCTTAAGCCAATAACTCGACACTAGCATTGATTTTGTCCTTCCAGGAAAGGAGTGAGATAGATAAGTTGAAAACACAGCTGTGCAAGTATCTGCAGAGGATGTTGCCATTTTCATCAGTAAGGTTAGTAATAAAACTACGCTGATATGTAGTGTCACTGTTAACTATAGGAAAAAGCATACTCATTTTGTATATGGTAATCAAGTTCAGGAACCTCTTAGCTGAAATAGACTGGAACAGGGAATTTATAAATAAAAGCTGTATTGAAATGTGGGAAATATTTAAGTGTAAGTTAGATAAAATTCAGAGAGAGTGTATTCCATACAAATCTATTCGTAAAAATAAAGAAAGTAAGCCCTTATGGTGGAATAGAAATATAAGCAGGTTAATTAATAGTAAAAAGAAAAAACATAAAATATATAGACAGACTAAAAGGGAAGAGGGTGGAATTGCTTATAAAATTGTAAGGAACGAATTAAATAGGATGATAAGGGAAAGATAAACTAGATTAGCGATGAACAAAAATAAAAATCCAAAAGAATTCTTTAAGTATTATAAAGCAAACAACAAAATGAAAGACAGGATAGGACCTTTAAAAATAGGCAACAGGATACTTGAAAATAATAGTGAGATAGTCGAAGCTTTGAATAATTATTTTAGTTCAGTCTTCACTTCAGAAAGGGAAAATTCTCCTTGTTTGGGAAATACAACTAAATAGTAAACATGACAGCCTTTCTGGTCTTTAATTGTAGCATATTAATAGCTGCTTAGTTATACAGTTGTTACATGTATATGTATGTATGTGCATATATGCATATGTGTGTATGTGTATATGTAAAATATGTTTGTATATGTATATGTATAATGTATGTGTATATATGTATAATGTATGTGTACATATGTATAATGTATGTGTATATATGTATAATGTATGTGTACATATGTATAATGTATGTGTATATATGTAAAATATGTTTGTATATGTATAGATGTATATGCATGCATGCATGTATGTATGTATGTATGTGTATATGCGTATAATAATATTAAGGTAGACGCGGCCACTTGGCTGCAAACTGTAAATATTCTGCATGAGATAATTTGGCAGTTGCCTGGTGAAGGGATGGGAGTAGATAGATGGATGGCGTGTTCAGTGTGAATATGAGTGTATCCTTTTTTTCTCGCAATGCCAAATGGTGTATGCGTGTGGTTGTTCTCAAACTTGTTAATTTTTAAAGTTATTATTGTTATTATTTTATTTTATTTCCTCAATACTGTTCATTTTCTTGATTTTTTGTATTCTTTCATTTCAATTCATATGCATTCAGACAACCTAGATATGGCGCGGTGGCTTTTTGTTGTCGGTGACTGTTTTTATGTCTCTTTTATAACTGTTGAAGATTAGTTTTACTTTTTATTTTCAGATTCTAATCTGAGCATGAGTAAAAGATTTGAAAGTGGAGCTAGCAAGTGCCAGAGAAAGAGACTTGAAAATGATATGGTAAAGAAGTTAAGACCAATCACTGCTTTCTTGCATCAGTCACAGACAGAAGCAACAAGTGTCAGCGGTAAAGCAGAGACATTGATACTAACACTAGGAAATCAGTGTGGTGGAGCTATCCAGCCAACTACTAGCATTCAACCAGAAGAAAACCTCAAAAACCACAAAAGCTCTTTTTTATTCAACAAAAGTCAGTGGGGAAACATATAGCTGAGAGTTGCTTGTGTATTCTCCCTCAAAAGGCGGGATTTATTGCTTTGTTTGTAAACTCTTTCCAAACGTTGCATCTTCTGCTACAGCTTTAGCTTCTGAAGGGTTTGATGATTGGCAAAACTCCTATCTTATCCAAACTCATGAAAACTCAGAGAAGCACAGGAATGCCATGTTGACCTAACTAACAAGGAAAAGAGGGCAAACATTAAGTTCAAAGCTAGAGGAACAAATAAAAGCAGAACAACAGTACTGGCAGCATGTCATGGTGAGAATTATCACTGTAATATGCACTCTTGCAGAATGAGGCTTACCATTCAGAAGAGACAATGAACAATTTGGATCTCCATATAATGGCAATTATCTTGGTCTTTTAGAACTAGTAGCAAAATTTGATCCATTTTTACTCGCTCATATCAATCAGTATGGAAATTCCGGATCAGGAAATCCTTCTTATTTGTCAAAAACTGTATGTGAGGAAATGATTCAACTCATGGCAAAAAAAAGTTAAGGACACAATTCTGAGTGACATGAAAAAGGCTGGATATTTCAGCTTGTCAGTAGATTCTACCCCTGACATTTCACATGCTGATCAGTTGACTTTAATTATCAGATATGTATCGCCTGAAGACGGTTTACCAAGTGAGAGATTTTTAACTTTCCTTGAGCTAAAAGACCACTCAGGAGAAAGCATGGCTGATTTAGTGTTTAACTATCTGACTACTGAGCTTGAAATTGACTTTAGAAAATGCCGAAGGCAGTCTTCCGACAATGCTGCCAACATGGCTGGTAGGTACAACGGTATGCAGCAAAAAATACTTGAAAAACACAAATTTGCAGGATTTATTCCATGCGTTGGTCACTCTTTAAATTTAGTGGGCTGTTCGGCTGTTGATTGCTGCCTTGATGAAGTGAATTTTTTTGGCATTATCAATGAAATTTATACCTTCTTTTCATCCTCCACAAAGAGATGAGCAGTTCTAAAATCATTTTTGCAACTTCAGTCAAAAGTGTCTAAATATTTATCAGACACTAGGTAGGAGGCAAATGCAAAAGCCACAGAAGCTATTTTGGAGAGTTACAGAGCTATCACTGGTGCCCTCAGTCATTTGTACTCTGATGTTAATGAGAAGGGTGATACCAGGCTTCAAGCTAACAATCTTTTGCAGAAAATGGAAGATCTGGAATTTGTGTTTATGCTACATTTTTTGACCCGTGTGCTACATCATTTTCACAGGGTCAGCAAAGCCATTCAGAAATCAGAACTCTTATTGAGTACATGTGAATGTTTGTACAGTTCACTTCAGGATTTCGAAAACAAAGTTAGAGAAGATTTTGATGAGCAACAAGCAAAAGCCACTTTGCCAAAGGTTAACTATAGAACTGTCACAAGGAGATAAAACATAAGTAAACGGCAAGGAAATGATGGAAATGCACCTGGTCCTGATGCCTTAGATGAACTCTCTTCAAGAGATAAGTTTAGGATAAAATCCTTTATTCCTATACTAGATGCACTTGATGCCAATTTAAGTAAAAGAGCTACTGTGTACAGTGATGTTGCACAAATCTTTTCCTTTCTTGCTAATCTGACAGCATCTAAGCAAGAAATTCAGCAAGGTGTTGAACTGTTGATGGAAGCATACCCAGAAGATGTTGACCTGAAACTTACTGATGAACTTTTGAATTTTCACTTGTACATGAGACACAGCCATAGGCCTACAGAAGAGCACTCTCTGTCTCATATAGACCTCTATAAACTTATATAAAAGGAAAAAAATTAAGATAGCCTTCCCTAATGTGGAAGCAATCATGCAGCTATTTCTTAGCTTAATGGTCACTAACTGCTCGGGAGAGAGGTCTTTTCAAGACTCAAAATAATTAAAAATGAATCAGGGGCCACAATGTCTCAAGAGAGGTTGTCCACACTGAGCATTGAAAGTGACAAGCTTAGACAAACAAAGTTTTATGAATGTTTAAATGATTTTGCTATGAGGAAGGCTAGAAAAAAAACTTTTTTAGTCTTAGTGTATTTGATGATCGTAGTTTCTTTGTTTATTAATATGTATTTTAAAACTGACTGTTTAATGACAACATATAGTAGGATCTAAAAGTGTCACACTCACTGTCAGGTAGTCATTATCATCTTATTAACACTTCCCAACCAAATAAAATTTGTAAGCTCAAAGTTTTTTAAAGAATATAACAGTAATCTTACAATTTTATTTTCCTAAAAATTCCTGCTTATTCCACAACATGTTTACAAAGTTCAGTTATTGCAAAAGTTTTTCACAATGTTAATTTTTAACATTTATGTTGTTTTTTCAATTGCTACAGTATCTAACAATAACATCTTATGTCCTTTAGAGGAGGAATTGCGAATTGCGGAATTTTAAAAACCGTCATCATCCTCGGCTTCACTGAATTTTGTTTAAAACACTCTTCCATCTTCCTCTAGTCGTGAGGGTGGGGGATTGGGAGGGGCCTCACAAGTGGAATAGCCTAGGGCCTCTCTTCATCCAAATCTGGCCCTGGCTTTGATCATGTTTGCTACTCGTAAGAGACCAGAGTGGCCCACTAGAAGTATTTGAAGGAAATTTAAAGATAAACATTACAAATTTCAATTAAGTTCACTGCTAGGATGGAAGTTTTAGAGGATTTCAGAAGCTAAGAATTGGTTAAAAAGAATATTAGAAAATCAAAAAGTATGATGAAAGGAACCAGAAAATGTTAAAACAGACAGAAAGAAATTATTTAAAAACATACATAAAGGTAAACACAATGTTAAAATCAGAACTGGGTGTTTGAGTATCCTGAAGGAAAGATTATGGAATATTGTGGGATAGATGAGTTTTTAAATTTTCTTACATTTTCACTAAAAAAAGATGTGAACAGTATTCCAAATTATGAGAAACTACTAATTAGAAATATAGACATACATAAACTTGTAGAAATTGTACATTGTAGAATTTAAAAAAATGGTAAGGCTCCTAGCATCATATTTTATCAATGAGTATCAAGAGAGATTAAGCAATTTAATCCCTTACTAAAATTTTTTCAAGTTTTTGAATAGTTGGCAGATGCCAGAAAACTGTAAGGTGATTAACATAGCTAAATACTTTAACTGACAGCATTTCTGAATACTTTCAATAAACATCACAACACCAACCTTTCCATCTGCACATCTTTATTTGTGTGATGTTAAAAAACACATTCTACATGTTTGGTGGACAATATGATCCACTATTTTCAAATTAAGTTATTGTGCACATGGACTTGCTTGTGTTGTGGTGTTTATAAATGTTATACCTATTTTTTAAGGAAGGTGACAAGCATTGTCCAGGTAATTACAGGCCACTTAGTCTCTAATGGTAAAAGTTTTTAAGAAATTGATTAAAGATGCATTGCAGACCTAACAAAGTTTAACATTTTTCTGGAGAGAAAATATTTTGTTTCACAAGTGTTTTGATCTACTTTGAAGAGGTCATTACTTATATGTTGATGAAGGTAAAGAGTGGATTTGGTTTGTGATTGGAGTTGCAAACAGGCTACCCCAGAGCTCTTTGCTGTGCTCCTTACTCAAAGATATATATATATAGACAGATAAATAACAACCCTGATAGGGAAATGATAGTAAGAAATCCCTTATCCTTCAATAAGAATAGGAAGAGTTACTACCAGGAAAAAAACCCTCTTATTTAAGCTCTTACAAGTAAAACTATATGCGCAATTCAAAAAATTCTAGGCCAAGATCATAACAACACTTCTAAACTTCAATGAACTTCTAACTCCATAATATAATCTTAACACAACTTCAAAACTTCTAATTCCACATTATAACTTTGAGACAAGAAATCCAGAAAAAAAACCAGAAAGAAAACCCTAACTATAAACTTAATCACAAAAATTTCTTTGATACTACAACATAAACTCTCCAATTAATTATAACTCACAAAAATTCCAAGTTTCAAGCAATGTCCAATCTATTCTTTATGTTTTGAAGTCTCTAGCATTTATTCATCAGTTTTCTTTGCATGTATACAAATCAAATTTTTACCAAGAGTGACATGCTAATTTACACACAGCTATATGACATTACCTATCTCACCAAAAATCTCACCACTGCTCAGTGTCAGTCACGTTGTCTCACTTTGAAAACAGTAGTATTCTATTATATTTAATTAATTAATTAATTAATCTCACCACTGCTCAGTGTCAGTCACGTTGTCTCACTTTGAAAACAGTAGTATTCTATTATATTTAATTAATGAGGTGCGAGCCAGTATTATGAATAAAAAAAAACTCACATAAACTACAGAGGTAAAGGTAGGTAAATATAATACTAAATAACAAAAAACTTAAATATTTTTCAAATTGCTTTTAACTAAAAGAAAACCATGTTTCTAAAAAAGAGGAAATGGATAACAGGGAAGTTCAAACCTAACTAGCTTACTAAAGGTATACAGAAGGAAATCAGTCATGAATACTGTAAGATTAAGTAGCATAAACTGACAGATAAGTTATAAAGTTTACAAAACTATAGGAAAGCTATGAATTTGGTTTAACAAAATTAGTAAATCTAAAACAGCTTACAAAAACAACTGGCTCATAATGTTAAATTTAACATCAACGTTTTGTTAGAACTACATTAAACTTAAAGATGTTAAAATGGATACAAAGCCCCTAAACTAAAAATGCTAATAGAACGTTTTTGTTGAAGACTATAAAACAGAACTCCATATGATATCACAAATATTCCTGATTATATTATTGGAAATATTAGAATTGGCATAAATTGTGTAGATATTATGATAATTTCTTGGTGGTAGGTAGATACATTGAGATATGAAACAGATGAAGTACTTATACCAAGCAATACTGTCCCCAGGGCTTTAAAGGAGGTTAAGATCATTAAATAGTGAGCAGTTGCCTTAGGAATGAAGACTTACTAATGTTCTAGTAATCTTAAATGGAGTGATAGGACTTCCCATAGAAATTATATGCCACTTATTCTTACTTCTGTAATGGGTAAATTCTAAAGTGTGATAAAAAAAGTATTACAAAATCATTTAGTAAAATATATCATAATTAAATACATCAGGTATTTACCAAACGGAAATCTTGCCTTATTACTCTATCTTTATCTCTAATATGTTATATTTATTTATTATTTAGTATTTACACTCACGTTTCACATGGTGTGAAGTTGATTATTAATTTCATATAACTTATTATAACTTCAACTTTCAAAAAGCTTTTGATAAAGTATCACATAAAATTAATTAGCTAAGAAAGTCCAATCAGAAAGATTAGGAAACAAGTATTAACTGAAATATTAAGAAGAGCATCTTGACACCATGGCAAATACAAAAAGGGCCCCTAACCAGATAATAGGATTAAACTTAAAGTTATACCTACAACACTACTCAAACGCTACATAAATATATTTAACTCTGCTGTACGGCACAGCAGTTAACTGACAGCATTTCTGAATACTTTCAATAAACATCACAACACCAACCTTTCCATCTGCACATCTTTATTTGTGTGATGTTAAAAAACACATTCTACATGTTTGGTGGACAATATGATCCACTATTTTCAAATTAAGTTATTGTGCACATGGACT